GAGCACATATAGCCCATTGTGTATCTTTGTGCTTAGTTACAAGCAAAAAGTTCCTTATCGTTTTATTACCGACTGTAAAAAGAAAATAGTGAAATATCAGTCACTACATTTACACAATATAACGAAATATATAATTTTCATACATACTTTTTTTCAGCGATCGTAATCCTCCTAAGACTAATACAAAAAAATATACATTTTAGTTAATTCGTTCTGTCTTGAAAGATTTCAGTTGATAATCTAAGTTTTGTCTCAGAATTAAGTATTGGGCTGATTTAAGTATAAACATGTTAAACATTATTTAGCCTTCTTGTAAAAAACTAGCATGCAGATCAGATGTGAAGAAGAACGTTTAGTTTATACAATTTGCTTAATATATGAAAAGCCATATAAATTACTAATGAAAAGAATCCAAATCGCAAACAATCTTTTCGATACAAATTCATTTGAAGGATTGGCTAAAATTACAAATGTTTGAAGTTTTAAAACTTCAAGAACAATCGAATGAAATATAGTAATGGCAAATACATAGTAGGAAACCATTAACCTAATCAGTCCACTACATAAAAATGTTGATACCAACAAGCGAGCAAGACTACTATATAAGGATAGGACAAATTCGAAATACATTACATGAGTTAGTTGGAAACACATTCCAGAAATCATTATGAGAAGTAGCAGATGATCTTCTTGATAAGTCATAACTACACTAATTAGGTAGAATAAAACGCCGTGGATTTAGTTCAAGCAGCTCCTCTCCAGTTCCCGACTTGTCCAATTATCCTTGTCATGTTTTTATATGGGCCGGATTCTTTACATTAGGTGACTGTTAAACTTAAACAATAAACAAACAGCACACAGTCCACTCGTTTTAAAATAATATATTAAAACAAGTCAAATATATACACAAATGTCTGTGGGTATCACAGTTGTATTCACACCTTTACATAATTGTTTCTTTTTCGTCAAAGTCCACAGAGAGTGGTTCAGTTACTTTAGAACATAATTGACAAGATAAATTATTCTCGTCTACTGTGTTATTACAATACAATCTGTGATAATTTCACTTTAAAAATCGTCACTATATGCTCTTCACGACTAAACTCACACTCACGCAGTCTAGATCTATCTTTCGAACTCCATTTTTGACGCCTATTTATACCCTAACAGAAGTCTAGAACGTTCCACACAATACTAGATATTATGATGCAATAATACAACAATCACTAATTCATAACTACTAAACTACACAACATATGACTCATAAACAGTTACGTAAACAAATTTGCGATAAACTATCTCTTCTAGAAGTAACTAAATTTAACACTGGCGCTAAGCTTAAATTGAATAATTCATGTATGTCTAACAATCCTGTAGTCCTCCAACTGATCCAGAATTGTCTAGGATCTCCTCGGCACCTCTGAATCCAGGATGGCCATACTACAGGGTCTTGCAGATATTCTCCACACAAACTCCTTGTAAGTAGTCAATGTTATCTCTTATCTAGTTTAATAACGTTTATAACGAATAGTGTATAATGTCAGAAGAAACAAAAGTACTAAACATTAACGCTGCTACAGATTTAACTAAGCCGATAGAAGAAATAATAGAGTTATTAATAAGCACATTGTAATAATTATTATTGCAACTATATAAGTGAAATTATGTCTGAAAGAATATCTCGGTATAACTTGTTTATTATAGTTTCAATGTTAATGAATATAATAGAAGGTCTAAATAATGAACATATTACTGTTCAGAACGAAGAGTTTAATAATTTTGATATCGAAATGTTTCAAGACAGTTTCGGGAACTTTGATGTAGATGAGTATATGAGCATCTTGTATTAAAAATGTTTTGTGTTTGTACTAAACAGTTTCTGACTGAATTTATTTATCTCAAACGTAAACCCCGTCGACTTGGTTTGTGTACCTAACCCACGACTGCATAACCTGACATTAAACAAATTTACGAACCCAAACAACTACACCCCCAGCGGCTCGTTACATATTTAAGCTTCATTTACTATTGTTCGTGGAAAATGATTTGCTAGAAAGAATGGACCCAGAAACCAGCACTTTAAATTTTTTTAAAGTTTTTAATGCTTTCATATCTTAACGATTACAGAAACCTGAACAATTGGCTAGGTCGATATAGAGTTCCCATAAGAGTGTGTTCGTTAATTATGACACTTGAAATTGTGTTAAATTGAAGCTTATGCATGTCTGTAAATGTTAATTATGAAGTTTAAAAGTTGCGTTAATCTGGACTTCATGTATCACTAAGAGCGTTAATTATGAGCTGTTCCACGATGATAAAATTGAGTTTGCAGATAACTAACAACGTTAATCATGAGATTTGAAATACTTGTGACAATGGATACCACACGTGACTGAGAACATGGTTCTGTACGAAGTTTGAAGTTGTGTTAAACAGAGGTAGACTGCACTAACTGTATAACCAGAGATTACTGTTGCTATTAAACGCTTTAATTAGTATTTCATTATTTTGGTGGCCTATCATCACATAGGCCTTAGTGTATACTAAACTAGGCCTAAAAACTAAAAGTATGAGGGCTAGATCCTTATACATCATAGCTTAAATTCCAATTCCGGCTTTTAGTGAACCTTAGGAAGACCACAACACAAATCATGCTCTTTTGTTAGATGTTTACAACTTTTGTATTTATGCAAAATGAATGAATAACATATAATAGGATTTATTATGACATAACGTAGCTGTTTGACATAGAAGTCTCTTTTATCATGATTAAGCACAGTAAAATGAATCATAAAAATCTCTATACGTTGTATGTACTTTGGCATTGTGTTTTTATTTATGGTTGAATGTGAGGTTCGAACACAAATATGAAGCTTGGGAACGTTATAGAGAACATACCATCATACGCTCCAGCTAGTAAAGCTCACTAACTAAAAGGTATTGAATACTTATACACTACTGTGATATTAATAAATATTTAGACAACCACAATATATGTTTCCTTTTTAAATTCAGATTTTATTCATAAGATAGATAAATGAACCCTGAATTGAGATTCTGCTAACTGATGACTTTCGAAACTGTTGCCGTTAAGATTGACAAAGTAAATATATTACAACCAAATCCCTTCTGCTGACGATGTATCACGAAACAGGGTCTGCTGATCAGATCATAAATAAACAAAAATAATAATCTAAGAGACGAACAATTTGACATGATTAATTGGTAATAGACCTACAAGCGACTGTAGAATTTTTGTCATGAAAAACAATACGAGTTAATGGTTATTAAAACAAATGAAACTTAATAAACACAACATTTAGAATGAGCTACTTGATATTTTGCACATAAAACATTGCAATATATATATATATTGTCTTTTTTGTGCAGCAAAGGATACAGAAAATATTAAAGTACTCAAGAAATGTATTTCAAAAAGTAACAACAATTCGCTTTTATTGCTGGTAAACATAAATGTTCATATATATTTTTTACAACACTATATTTTCGGTTCTCGTGGGATTGCTGTAAGTCCACGGATTTACAACGCTAAAATCAGCGGTTCGATTACTCTCAGTGGACACAACAGATAGCCCGATATGGCTCTGCTATAAAAATATACACACTACGCTTTTGTTTCAGTTTTCATTCTTAAATAGATGTATGAATGTGTAGCATTTATTATAAGAAAAGTGTGATTAACTTTAGAATAAAAAGTACATATTTATAGAGACAAAAAGGAATTGTTGATACACATATTGAAACAGAAAGTATCTTTTCTCATTACACAGTTTTTGTTCAAGCGTGACTGTGTTAGCTTCAGAGTAAGTGTTAATCTAGGTAGAACACAAAATCTTTTGTATACAGTATTCATGAATTAATACTTGTGTAGTGAAAACGGTTTATTATTTATCATGAATGTCTGGAAAGTGATACTTTGAATTATATATTTCGATGTAAAGGAAGCAAAAATATGATAATATATTGCAGACATTTGTTAATATTATTCTATCGGCTTATGAAGAGCAACGTCAACATAGTTTTAGATCTATATATATAGTACAGTCCTTACCACTTCAATCAACTGGGATAACTTGAGCTTGATGCTAACAGTCAGAGCTTCACTGACGTTGAGGACTGGTCGAACTAGTTTATTATATCGGGATATTAAGTCGTCGTATAGCCGCTTGGCATCCGGATTTGCTTCACCACCTACATAAAGAATACTTTACTCTAGTGAAACTGAAATTGAAATGTACATTGCAACACCTGAACCTTTCAAGATAAGGTAGAATTATATAAATTGTTGCCGTTTCTTCAGACTTCGAAATAAATTATATTGAAATTACTAAATGTACAGTTTTACCACGAAAACATAACACTAATAGTAACCTTGAAAGATGGAAAGCTGTTGGGTTTAAAACAAGCTGTAGAGAAGATGTACAATAATTCAACTTTCTGTATTTTTATTGAATTCAGTGAAGAAAAGGTTTTACTAGCTTGCAGTGAAAGGTTCAAGTCGTTCAAGTATGTTTTATAATATATCTATGAAACAAGGATTGATATGAGAAGTAAATCTAGGTTCCATTAACAAGGTCTTTATAATAAAGGTTTTAATATCCACGATGATTCTTGGTTCGTGTCTATTTACTGCACTTTGGGACTTTAAACGAGCTGTAAAAGTTACGGCCAAATCCCACTCTTCGGTAAAAGAGTAGCCCAAAT